GTTGTTGTGGTGGTGGTGGTGGTTGTTGTGGTTGTAGTTGTTGTTGTTGTTGTCGTACATGTTGTTGTGGTTGTAGTTGTTGTTGTAGTTGTTGTAGTTGTTGTTGATGTTGTGCTTGATGTTGTTGTTGATGATGTTGTTGATGTTGTTGTGCTGGATGTTGTTGATGATGTTGTTGACGTTGTTGTTGCTGCTGTTGTTGTCGTAGTCGGTTCTATTTTGTAGAAGCGAATTTAGAATGAGATTAACAATTGGATATGGGTCTGCTCCTAATTTCTTACTTCTTTTCTAAGTATTATATCTGCTATATATGTGAGTGCATTATAATAAAAAAGTAAATCTTTAGACGGCTTGTAGTATAATTGTACTTCCACAATCTTTACTTTAATTAGATCTCTAATATAAGAATCCCATACAATGGTATATTATATTTCAATCTGAATTCAGAGGAAAAAAAGAGGCCATATTTGAATTGAAAGTAGGGGACTAGGAGGACTAGGAAGAGCTGTGGGAAACAACGGAGACTCATAACATTCAAAAGAATAAAACAACGTCATTGACAAATACCAGGACTTTACTAGAGAATCAGAACTTACAAGAATTTATTACATTCTAACTTCTTCGCATAAGAAAATTTATTCTCTCTTGTACTGAATCATTTTGGCTTCGATAAAAATAATTGTTTTAACTCTGAGTATAAAGAGTAGACTTATATACACTGTCTTTTATAATAAAATAGCAACGAAGTCGTTTTGAAAGCTCCTTAGTCTCCCGTTGTACTGAAAGAGTGTTGACGGTAATAGCTGACTGTTGCTCTAAATATATTACAAAGATCAGTTTTTGTTCAAAATTCAATTTAAAATATAAAAGACCATAGCCTCATTCATACTAACCGTGCGGAGATCGTGTTCCAGTAATAACAATCATAGTAGTAATGTCAGTATCAGTCAACATATTTGCTATTTCATTTGACATATCAGTAAATAATTCACAATTAAAAGTAGATTGATGAAAACTGGCTGCTCTACAATACGTTTGGGCTAAACAAGCCATTTGACACTTCATAATATTCGGCGTAATGATATTTGCGAATGGTAGACAAGCTGTATTCAAACATTGAAATTTCGAACCAGTGATTAAAGACATTAGGACTGATCGTGTATCTTCTCCAACTGAGTTTGTAATAATCATAAACACAAGCCATAAACAAATTCCTCTTGAAGCCATTACTAACTAAATTGCAAGTTGGTGAAGTGAGTTTTACTGAGCATAATAGGAGAAGAATCTGTTGAGCGATAAACACTATTTTTTTCTTCTTTTTCTCTCTTTTTTCTCATTTCATGTCATCCATCTAATGAAAAAAACTAATCATGACTTTTACTTAATTTTGTAAAAACACTTATTCATTTTGAAAGACGCTTTTTCCTTGTTGGTATGTTACTTAGAGACAAATATATTCACAAATAGATCATAGTTTGTTATATGGAAAATAAATAAAGACGAAAAAATATAAAATAATCGACTCAATAAAATTGCATTTGAAAGGGAATGAACAATGTTTAATCGCAAATGAAATTTTTTTATAAAAATAAAAATAATTTAATCCATTTTGTTCATATATAAATTACATATTCATTATCAGTCAACTCTCATGCCATTCTCATATAAGACAAAAAAAATTGAACAATTCTCAAAATTCAAACTCCTTGGATATGGATTTTTCAATTGACTTTAACACGAAGTACTCTATTCTTCATTTTTTGATCGATAAAAGAATATTATTATATGTGATTTAATAGATAATCGTATTTTTCTTCATCAATGTAACAATGATCCAAACAGCTACGATTCATGTCTATGTATGATAATATCAGCGAAAGATAGAATATCTTGTTTATTAGATAAATAAAAACAAACAGTTTTTGTCACTGTTCTATAGTGAGTTTAATAATTGTTTATCGTAACAACACATTCTAAACTGTTTTTCTCTCGAGAAACAACATTTATCTACTAATAATTTTCTTTTCTTTTGTTTTATTCGTTTCTATGCTGCTGTGATATATTATGTATGAAGCAGAAGACGAAGTTAGTTGAACAATCTTTTTGATTATTTTTTGAAAGAAAAGAAAGAAACAGAAAACTTATGGAAAGATCAAGCCTTGATGTAATTACAATAGAAGAAATTATATTACTTCGCAAAAAAAATTGTGTTGAGAAAAACAATAATGATAACATACGCAAACATTCTGTAGATGGAAAACGGCATCTTGGTAATTACATTAGAAAAATACTAAAAAAGCTGATGACGACTTTATTTTCTTTCGATATTTTAATTTATTATACAAGTAATGCTCGTCTGGAAACTCGCTTAGCTCTTTCTCGTAGAAACAGTGTGTCTTCACTATCAATAAACTATTTAATCACACAATTTAAAAAAACACGACTTCAGATTTGAGTTCCTCGACACCTATTACTGTTCGATCAACCCTTTAAAAAAAATCCTCTTGTATGTTTATCAGTGATGCCAGATGTCATAGCCAGAAAACCGATATTTCAATCTCAAAATCTGGAAAATTTCGGAAGGTTTTTGTGTGAAATCTGGAAAAGTTTTAACAGCTAATTTTTACCAACTAATATAAATTTCTATAAATCTTGCGCTCAATTATATCATTTGTTATTTCAAAAAAAAACACTTGTTTCAATATACCACAAGAAAATCAACAAGAAAATTCAAAACATAATAAACTAAATATATGAGAAGTATAAGGCACTGAGCCGCTGTCAAATAAAAAAATTTTTTGCGTATAAACGAATAAATAAAACTTTATTCGATAAAAATCATCTAAAATCCGGAAAAAAACGGAACCTAGAAAAAATTCAGATAAATTCGGAAGATCCAGAGTTTTTCTGGAAAAACCGGAAAACCTGGCAATACTGGTGCGGACACACGAGCAAGCAGGCAGACAGTTTATGTTTGCAAGACTCTTCTCTACGAGAAAGAGAATAACAAAATACTTCCAAAATATTGATTTTTGTCGGTTAACGAATAAATATTGGTGAGAGCTCTCATAATCATAACACACAATAATTATACATCAAATGAGAAAAAAACATCGTTCAATTACAAGCTATCGAATAAGACTACCTACGTAAATTCTGTTCCTGTGAAATAATTGATCAATTATATTTTATTCTTATAAGATAAATCATCAATTACTCACATTTATTTTTCCTATCTAAAATAATTATAAGCAATTAGTGTTATATACATGCATACAAACAAATATTATTATCACATCTGCTTAATTGCTTGCTGATTATTTTTAATGAGATGAAATATAAGCAGAAAAAATGAAAACAATCGTTTATGCATCACTGAAGCGTATAGAAAGGAAAATATAAATGCCTATGCTCTTTGCATATTCGTTTAGTTATTTGCTTTCATTGGAACTCAAAACTTGTATACTCGACTACTCTGTTTCGAATCTGATCGTGTTTGGATATTATTTCACGGTAATTATTTCTACACTTTTTGTATTTAGTTTCTACCATTCAAACGATATCATTCACATTGAGAATTGCTGCTCTATTTAGAAGTACTATAATTATATCAATCGCTATTGAGATTTTTCTAAATCATTCAATTTATCTAATGACAGTATCTAATATATTTTAATTATAATAAAAACGAAGCAAGGTTTATAGATTTCCTACTATATCATCAACCTCTTCTATAAAGTCGTAGACAGAGCCTGCACAATATACTAAAAACATGTCATATAGTTTCACAACCGATTATTATTCTAGCTCTGCTTTGGTAGTAGGATATTATACACCACTCTGAGCTAAATTAATGCTTCGTCTGCTTGGGTATTCAGTCGAAGTCTCTTCGCGATGCAACGAAGTACCTAAATGAACTGCTGTCTTCGTTCAAGCTGATCCTCATTCTGATTACGTGTTCTGTCAGCTTTTCTACCCCTTACGACTAGGTCCTCAACGAAATGTGTTCCCCGGTTCCATTTAGTATCAAGCCCGATTATGTATTAACTCAGATTCTGTACCCTCTGTGATTTTGTGGGTTAGGTGTAAGTGAGTTTGTGGTTAGATGATGAGATTAGGAAGAGACAGGGACACCGGCTAAATCCTTAAACTAATAACATACACTGATTGATTTTTAGAGGAATTTTTTCTTTGAACAGATTGTTTCTACATAAATAAAGCTTTCCCATTAGATGTTTAGGAATCCGATGACTCTCAACTGGGCACTGTTTCCTAGTGTTTTTTTTAATATTATGAATTGACTTGACATAGTTGAAGATCTCCATCGATTCAATCCTAAAACGGAGAATGACAGTTGTGAGCTAGGATATCGCTTAGAATCAAAAACCTGTCAAGTCGATATCTCGAGCTTACTTCTCTTCACTACTCGAATTTCATACAGAAATTCATTTTAGATTTATCTTCATTGCAATTTGACTCGAATTTATGGCTCATTTACGCTTAAGACGTTCTCGAACGTGAGTTTAGAATGTCTCTGGTGAACTTTGTTATCTTTTACTAATTATTTAGGTCCTCTTTACTTGGTCTGCTTGCACTAGCACTATTTTCTGTTGCGTGTACAATTGTTCTTTCGCTAATTCCGCTCTATGTATCAAGAAATGATTTTAACATCTCCAACAACAGCAACATTACCAATATTGACAACATCAGCAACATTAACAATATTGACAACATCACCGCCACGCAAACATTAACAGCTGCTAGTTAGTTGATTTTTATTCATTTTATTTTATTTACATACGTATTCTTTACTAGAAAACTCGCTTACTTCGTTAACTGTGTCTTACATGTTGCCATCTGGATTTGCGAGAAAGCGCGGAGCGCAATCAGTCACCGATCGTACGACAACCGCTGATAACGTATTTGTTTCATCTTTTATGCTAATTCATTATATGTATTGTATTTCAGCTGCGACAAGCAACCGGTTCTCCCAAAGGTTCCATCATCGTCAACACCATCAGCAGTGCACTAGCGGCCGGAGGCAAGGGTCGACGTCGCCGCCGCGAGTAAATTTCTGTTTAATATATTTCTGCTAACCATACTTACTTATGACTTTATATATAGCATTCAATGCGATAAAACAGATCGTCCCGGAGTTGCTATCGTTTTCGACGTCGCACTAGCGTATCCAGAAAATTTACCGTGTCAAACTCTGCCCTGTCAAGTCGAACAGTTTACCAATATCCATCAACAATTCAATAGTGCAACCAATGTTGCTATCACGGCGGACGATGGAAGCACCTTACCTGTACAGCTATGTCACGTCCAATCTAATCCCAATCGTGACAGTAATAATGAAACTAGTTCCGATGGTATCGTTGTCGGTAAGCAGGCAGTTTCTTTTATTACTTATCTAGATTTTTGAACGAAAGTAACTTACAAATGTATGCTTATTCTTTTCAGCACCATGTTCAATTGTTTGTCAAAATGGTGGTGGATGTACAGGTCCCACAACTTGTGCATGTGCTACGGGATGGGGTGGTGATACTTGTACAATCGGTAATATAAATTCAGAGTTTGATTGATTGATTCTAATAGTTTCCATTATTTCTCTCAGCTATATGCACAAATGGCTGCCAAAATGGTGGCCAATGCACAGCTCCTGATAATTGTACATGCACTGCAGGCTGGAGCGGTGCAACGTGCGGACTAGGTGAGTACTATTTAAATTTTAGACGTTTCCTATGATTTCTTTTCTTGAGAATTAGAATGTAATTAAGAATGTGCGGTGATATTAGTTTAGATATTTTATACTAAATTATATATAGGATGTAAGATTTATGAAAGAATCTATTTATTATCATAATAATATCAATAAACAACATTATTATATTTTTGATTGACAACTAATAATAGCATTTTCTTAAGTTTTATCATATGTAGACGTTATCACTGTCTCGAAAACTTTCATATAATAATATCATTTTAGTGAATGTATAAGATGTTGAAAGATTTTATCACTAAATTGACGCTGTGTCAACTGATTTGTTTCAGTTATTGCAATCGAAACATGATTATAAATAGATATTATAAAATAGGAGAGATAATAAAATCCATACGAATCTATTTCAAGGCAGATATATTGTTAATCGATAGAGAAGTAGTGAATTATAAAGAAAATCTCATTCAATCAATCTTCCTGATTCATATAGGACAGCCAACGTCATCAATAACTACAACAGCTACAGAAAACTCTACAACAGCCACAAAACCAGCAACAATAACCACAGAAACAAAGACAACTACAACAACATCGACAACAACAACAACGACAACAACAGCAATAACTACGACAACGTCAACCATAACGACGACGACGACATCAATCACAACAACAACTACAACGACAACAACTACTACGACAACAAGCACAACTACAACTACAACGACTACTACGACAACAACTACTACTACTACTACAACAACAACTACTACTACTACAACCACCACTACAACAACCACCACTACAACAACCACCACTACAACCACAACAACAACTACAACTACAACAACAACTACAACAACCACCACTACAACAACCACAACAACAACAACAACTACTACTACAACAACAACTACTACTACTACAACCACAACTACTACAACGACAACCACAACTACCACAACAACTACAACCACAACAACAACTACAACAACCACCACTACAACCACAACAACAACTACAACAACCACCACTACAACAACCACCACTACAACAACCACCTCTACAACCACCACAACAACTACAACTACAACAACAACTACAACAACCACCACTACAACAACCACAACAAAAACAACAACGACGACAACAACCACCACTACAACAACGACGACAACGCCAACGACAACAACTACTAGTAAGTAGTTTATTAAATCGCGTGTGCATCATATGTCTGTTTGAAAAAGAGTAGCTTCATGAGACATTGAAAAACGGACTATGACACCGGAAGTCAAAGACCAAATAAAATAGAACATTATTTGTCTCAGTTTGTTTTCAATAGTGTGTGTTTGGATAGAGTGAGCATAGGTGATATGAGAGAACTTCCTTTTCAAACGGTTAGACTAACACATAAGATCGAATATTAGTATAAGGTAATAGAAACTACTATGGTTCTTTAACTGAATCGTCTTTTTAATCATCAGTATATTAGTGTCTACATTTTTTTTAGTACTAATAGTATTCTCATATCGATAGAAATAGTTAGTCATCGTAAAAAATAGAAAGTGAGAATTCAAAAGAGAACGATAAACGAACTATATCATGTAGAGGTCATGTAATTTCATAAATACCACTATGGTAGTTAGTTGTCAGTATGAGAAATAAAATTGTTGTATGATAATTCAACGACAGATCGAGAATAGTCCGACGAAAATAATGTCTCATCCTATGTATTCACGGTAGGCTTTACAAAAATTCTAAATTTCCATCAATCATTTTTATTTAAAAATCTACTATGTTCGACTAGTTTTTCGGAGATTTGCTAGTACACTTTGAGCTGAAAATATTTGTTTTCTATCTAAATTATGATGCTGCTGAAAAGCTCATCATTGTTTCAACGATGAATTTTATTAATTACTATTGAATTGCAATAATTTATTGTTTTGCAGAAGTTTGGACCCAGATTGCATCCGATAGTGTTATTGGTGATCAAAATTGTGCTGGAATTGGATACATTGCGTCGGCAACATTGAGTGCATGTCAGAGTGCTTGTCTGTCTACCAGTGGTTGTACAGCAGTCGATTGGAATACAAGTGGTTCAGGATGTACATACCGTCAATGTGCCACGTATCCGCCAAATTATGGAAGCCAAAGTGGTTGGCAAGTATGGGCATTACAAACCGTTTATTAAAGCGAACAATGTGGGAAATGACTGAAAGTGCACTACATTAAACAGAATGCATATGATGCAGAGTAAATAAACTTTTTTTTCTTATGTATTTTTGTAAAACTAAAATAAAAGGACAAATTTTTGAGTGTTCTGTAGTAAAAACTTTGATGGTAGGTGCGTGAATGTGTTTGAAATCAAAAACAGGCTAATCTATCTTTTGCCAAAAAGACAAAGACAATATGCTTGTAAAATTAAGATATATGAACAACTTTAATTTCGAAGACGCTTAACGTAGTATTTATTTAAAAAGGTAAACATCCATCAGGGTGTGGGTGAGAGTGTGAATATTAAATTCATCATAAATCTGTATTCGCACCAACATCCACACCCACAATAGCTATATTTAATATTTTTATATTATATGGATGGAATCGCGATCATTATCTTTCAAGTAAAGATGGATTTATACTTTTAACATATTCAATAGCAACATGTAAAATTTTTGGATTTTTAAATTATTTTGCTGGACAATCATCAGCTTGGCTTCGTGTATTTATGTGTTTTGATCGATACTTATCAGCTAGTCGTCTTCGTCGTCCATGGTGTAGTCGTGAAAAGGTGTTCTTATAATTATTTCATGCATTATTATCCTTGTTACTCTATTCAATTTCCATTTTCTTATTTTTGCTTGCTTTTATAGGCCAAATGGTACAATTGATCCTGATGCTCAATTATATCAAATTTATCCATTATAGGATAATATTAATTTGGGTGTTTATAATTGTATACCATTCATATTGATGCTAATATTCAATAGTGGTGTTATCTATCATTCGCTTAAACGGCGTCAAGTACGTATGATTCAACAATCACAAATTCAACATCGAGCTATATCAATTAGTTTGGTTATTATAACATTTCCCTTTTTAATAATGACTATTCCAGCAACAATTGTTGCTGCATTTTCTTCTACTACACCGCCAACAAATCTTACAAAAATATTAGATTCAATTCTTTATACATATCATATAACATCATTTCCACTTTATTTGATTACATTTAAGGAATTTCTGTGGGAATTTATCAAGATGGTCACTTGCAAGAATAATAATCGAACAATTGTACCGGCACAAGTTGCTATTGCTACAGCAAGGACACCCAATCAATTATAAATTATTTTATGATTAATCGATTAATGAATCTTCATGCTCAAATAGTCGAATCAATAAACATTTGAACAAAATATCTATTTTAATAACTTTGAATTTTTACATGTAAACAAATGACTATAATAAAATAACATAAAATAAAAATCTTGAGAGTGTGGGTGCGGGTGTGTAAGTGTCGAGGATTAAGACGATAATCACACCCACACCAGACGAATTTGAATCATTCCTTCTCGCCTTTCACATTCACTCAGTTGAGAACGAGTTCAATTATAATGATAATCATTATAAAACTAATGACTAAATAAGATATTCAAATAAACCAATATCTTCCGAACACCTTGAGGACGTATATGTGAATGATGCTTTTTTCTTCTCTTTACGTACACTCACATACCCCTTTTTCTCAGCTTTTTGACTTTCTATAAATTGTTGAGAGTCTCACACTCTTCTCACACCCACACTCTCAATCTTGAAAAGCTTCTTCTTATTTTTTCATTATATTTTAGTGGGTTTGGGATGCGTGTGAGTATTATGTCCATCTTATACCCACATCCATCTAAAAGCTAAATTAATTTTCGAATTGTCTAACTTTTCTTATTTGATCACAAAAATTACAAGACAAAAAACAAATGAAGATATGAATAAGAATAAAATAAAGAAGATCTTGATTATATTTTACAAATATATAATAAATAATAAATAATAAATAAAAGTTTCGAGATAAAATAAATGTTATATAAAGTAATAATTTTAATATAGAATAATGTTATGTATATATTATCGATAGAATTTAGAGTTTGACAAATTTTTGCACTCTGTTGTTGCCTGTATCAGCCACGTACAAGTTCATTGATGAATCGAATGCAATACCTTTTGGTCCGTTAAGTTGTGCTGCACTACTACCACTAATCCCAGTACCGGCAATCGTAATACCAGTCTGATTATTTTGACAGAACATTTGCACTCGATGATTTCCATACTCAACAACAAACAAATTCAAATAACTATCAAGTTTAATAGCTGTGGGACTTGATAAAGTTGTAGCAGTGGATCCTGCTGTACCTGGAGTACCAGCAATAAATTCACCTGATGAATTTCCTGGTATCCATCGCATAACTGAATGGCCACCGCAGTTGGTTATATACAAATAATTACTTATTGTTGGTAGATAATGAATTCCCCAAGGCTGATTCAATTGCGTAATTGTATTTCCAGCCCCGGCGCCTCCAGCAACAACTTCTCCATTAGTACCTGTAGTTGAATTCGTCTGAAAACGTATAATTCGATTATTACTATAATCTGCAATATACACATATGTGTCTGTTGAGTCAATCACTATATCTCGAGGAACATTTAACTTGTTTAATGCTGAACCTGCTGATGAATTTATTCCAGCAATCGTAATTCCAACAGTTGATCCATTTACATATTTTTGTATTCTTGCATTGTTATAATCGGCTACGTACATGTTGTTTTTCGAATCAAGATAAACGCCTTGAGGATTACACAATTGACTGGCACTCGAGCCAGGTGAGCCTGATTGTCCAGCTATAATAGTCGCAGTTGTTGCATTTTTCAGTAACTTCCATACAACATGATTATTATATTCATCCGATATATACAAAGTGTCATTTGAGTCGAAATATATGTCTTCTATAAATGTCATTTGTGATGAATTCAGTATAGTAATACCTGTTGTATTCCATCGATAAGTACTTAATGTACCTGAAAAACAATAGAAATATTTCATTTATCACTCTACACATCCTGCTCAATGAATTCATCTCATATCAGTTTAAGAACCATTCGAAACAACCTCTTGTGTTTAAGATTCTCAGCCATCATATATGGAAAAATCCTATATGCGAGTAGTGTTAACATTGATATGTGATGTAACTAAAGAACAAAACATTCTTCGTAGGACGTGTACGATGCATTGTCTACTATACAATGAGATGTCCTACGTTAGTTAGACTAGAAAGAACATTTAATCTTCGTTCAACTTTGGAGAATCTTCTATCATTCGCGTGATATTTATAGAAAAACTGAATACACAAGTTTTCGATCGGAAACTTGATTCATAAATATTTGTCATAAACATATAAATGTGTTAAAACTTCAGTCGAAGGGAACTGTCCTTTTGCAGACATATAATTCACAAAGAAAACTAGATCGTATATAGATTTTTGCGGATAATATCAGTTTTGAGCAATTGCTATAACAACAAAGAGTTGTTTCTTTTTTGGCTGACATATATCAGATATTCTTATAATTAGAAACCCTTTTTAGAAGCAAAGTTTTTAGTCAAAGCTTGGATATTCATTACATCTATGAATTCTGTGGTAACGAGAAGAAAATCAATATAATGATGATGACTGTACATTAGCAATGAACCTCAAGGAATATCTTTTATGTCACGTTCTAGTTCGCTCTCTACTAATTGAGGAGAGATATCGCTTCTTACATCTTCCTTAGACAAAATACTAAACTTTAATAAACTCAAGGATTGCTATTCGAAAATGACACTAAGTTGACTTGATCAGTGATTTTTGTAAACTACAAAAACTAATGATTTCAATGAATAGTTCATCAGAATCGAACAACACATTTTCTTACTAACATGGATTGATTGTTGTTGTCGTAGTCGTTGATGTTGTCATAGTTGTTGTTGTAGTCGGTTCTATTTTAGAGAAATGAAATTGAGGATGTGGGCGTGTATGCGGATCTACTACAATTTCTACATCCAGGAATGCTAATAGTCTCTTAAGATTGCTCAAGTGTAATATAAATAGGCTGTTGGAGATGTTCTCGTGCGTATGATTCTGCGATTCCGTGGGAGTATTTTATGGATCCGATGTAGTCCTCATGAAGTAATTCTAAGAGATAGGATTAAATCAGGCTTTACCAAAAGTAACTCTATGAATATACAGCTCGTGATATGTGATAAACAGCTAGTAAGAGAGTTCACGAACCGTTTTGTTCGATATATCTACCAGTTTCTTTCGATCAACGTCAAAAAAGAAAAAGCTTGTTTCTCTCTGATATATCTTTCTTAAATAGACGTGGTTATACTGACCTAACGGAATTCTTGTTCCATCTATGGCAATCATAGTAACAGTGTCCATATTAGCTGTTAGATTGTTATTTTGGTTTGATATATTAGCAAACAATTCACAACCAAAAGATGATCGAAAAAAAGTAAGTGCCTGGCAATCAACTTGAGCTAAACAAGCCACTTGACAGTTTTCAATGTTCGATACATTGACAGTGGCAAATGGTAAGCAAGTTGTGCGAGAACATTGAAATTGCCAATCTACCTCTGTAGACATGTGAACCGATCGTATATCTTGTGCGGCTGATTGTGTAACAAGAACAAACAGAATGAATAGAGAGTTTCTTCTCTGCGCCATAAACATCAAGAATGTTAGTTAAGAAAAAAATTTGACTTTAAATGGAATGCACTGCGATAACATAGCATTAAATACCTTTTCAGTTTTTCTCTCTTTCTCTCTTTCTTCATTTATATTTTTTATTTCATTAGTTTGATGAAAACAAATTATGACTACTCTTTTTGTTAGGATTGTGTAGGAGAGCTTCACTTTGTAAAAATACTGCATTTAGAAAGATGGTTTTTTCTTAGTTTATGCCCAGGTAGAAGAAGAAAAATATGAATATCTTGAAATCTTGTTTTATGTAGAAAACCAGTTTAGTTGTTTATAATATGATAGTACTTTATATAAGATTTAATTCCGCCGCGTAATAAAAGAAACGTTTTATCAAATAAATGAATTTAGAGAAACTGCTTTTCAGCATTCTAAAGGAACTTTAATAATTCTTCATCTTCACAAATAATCAGTCTTTTTTCTTCGGATAAAATATATTTCATTTAACAGAATGGTGCCTGCTTTTCGTTTTTTCAGTTGTATGTTGTTATAATATAAAGTGCGTACACATCACAAAAGTTACTGTAAGAGAATTTTACTCTTTTTCCCCAAAGAAATATAAGAAAAACAAACGTTTTGTACAATGATGTTTGTTTTTCATGATCGATATTGCAAACAGAATCACCGTTACGATGCCATTAGGAAAATTAACAATCTTGTTCATGACATCTTTACTTTCTTTCTACATTTTGTTGCTTAGCACATCTATATCCTGAAGATGTCAAATACGTGACGTATACGGCTGTATTTCTTTGTACGTCATGTCCCAAAATTACCACCATATTTCTTTGTATTCCATGCCCTAAAATTATGACTATAGTTCTTTGTTTTACATGTCCTAAAGTTACGACCGTATTTCTCCGTGATTGGATAGAAAAAAGTACGGAGATCCCAAACGGAGCATTTACGACGTTGTTTTTACCGAACACGGTCGTAAATGAGCGCGTTCTGATCAAATATGGGTACAAACACCGTCGATTTTGCTTCCATCTTTCTCCGTTTTCCATATATCATCGCATTCAAACATTAAATAAAATGATCTAAAATAATCATAAAATAAAATACATCTACCTGATCTTAGCTTTATATGTTGAGATCATTTTGCTTCAACTTAATTTAGTAGAAATCATGTATTCTAAGTATTTGAAGTTCGTAACCAAGGAAATGTTGTGTTTACCCATCTGGATGTCGAACTTCGGATTACCAATTGCTCTGGCAGGCTATAACCATTCTGTTTTCTGATAGTTTCTAGGTTGTATCGAAAGGATCGCATAATACTCTAGATAATCAAATAGCGTAACTTAAGTTTTATTTCAAAGTTCAGACACTGACTAGAGTATTGATGTTGCCTTTCTATAATGAACCAAACAATAGAACGATGTAACATATTTCTTAATTTGAAATATTGTTGATTTTTAAGAAAGAGTCGAATATCATTAATAAAGTCATAGGAAACAGAAAATAATATCGAACAGGCGTACTTTTGTCCTATTTGAACGTGTGAATGAGACAGTTAGATGAATATACATACTAATATTATCTCACAACCACACACACTCACACCAAAATAATGAATTGATAATATTATCTTGAATTCCAATTGTTGAGCTTATCTGAGAGATCCAATGACTTGAATTGATTCATCAAATTCGTAGTCAATTTCTTCTTATCTAATAATTACCTATTTCGCTATAAAATAAAAAGTATCACTATAACTGAAATTCTTGCAAATGCAAAAACTCTATGAAAATTTAAAGTTATTCAATTGAAAAATAATTCTTTTCTTTTAAATTTTGAGATCAATAAAATATTTTGTGCATGATTTCTTATATTTCCTTTCCAATTATATCTTCATTTACATATTTGAAAATCAGTTTATAGTTTTAAATCCATTTTTCCTTATTTCAAAATTATTAAATTCTTTCGGTAATATTTTATTTTTTTGTTTTGATTTCAGAGGGACTTTTAAATGATATCTTTTTTTTATTATAAACTCTTTTATTTGCAACTCAAAATTTTGAAGAAAATAGAAAAATATAATGCCTTTCTCATTTCATATATATTTAACTTATTTCAATTTTTATCAAAGGATTCTTTTAAGCAATAAGGGTGCGCGTGTGGGTATGCATTTCTCACAGTCTCTTCTTCTTCTCGTATTCTCACACCCACACCGCCGAGATGATTTCAGAGTGAAACGAGGGGAGGGTCTTCAACTTCTGACTTTGGTTAATTCAAAAATAGGATTCATACATAGACGTTAGGGGATGATGCAGTAAAACGTTGAGAAAAATTATGGCTCAATCGACTTTCGAACTGCGCATAGTTGCCTAGTGCTTAAATAAGTTTCAGTAGAGACTGACCCAGTGCTCGCAAAATCCTAGATACGCCATGGCCATCTTGAGAGTGAGCGTGGGTCAGGCCTCTAGCCAGGGGGGTGAATGGAGTGACCGGTCACCCCCTTTGGCGAAAAAAATCTTGAAGGGGGGGTACGGATGAAAATTTTATTCACGAAGCAAAAAATTATTTTCCTACAGGTGTGCACCTCCCTTGGAAAATTCCTGGCTACGGGCCTGGCGTGGGTATTCTTTTCATTTCACCCACACCCACACACACACACCCTCAAGACGTGGCTGATACAGGCAACAACAGAGTGCAAAAATTTGTCAAACTCTAAATTCTATCGATAATATATACATAACATTATTCTATATTGAAATTATTACTTTATATAACATTTATTTTATCTTGAAACTTTTATTTATTATTTATTATATATTTGTGAAATATAACCAAGCTCCTTTTTATTTTATTCTCATTTATATCTTCATTTTTTTTCTGTCTTGTAATTTTTTGTGATCAAATAATAAAACTTAAAAAATATAGATAATGACTTTGTCTTTGTATGAAACACGATCTATAAGTAGCAGTGATGAAGTATTTATGAGTAGATAATTGTACCCACCTGTTTGGCTCTTCCCATACAGACATAGACAGAGATGTGCAAAGAAATTTATATAGAATAAAAAAATACAATTAAATCCATACTAATAATATTATAAGTTGAATATATTGATATTAAAACTATTAATAAAATTTCTAATCTTAGTATTAAATGGAATAAAAATTAATGATAACGTGTAGCCAAGACTATTTCAAGCCGTCGGTTCTATATGTCTTGACAATCAATCGTGTACACGTATTTGATTTTTTTGAAGGTCTTAACAATTTTTTAGAAATATACTAAGATGATTGATCGATACAGAATTAAATTCCCTACCTTGAATACTTGCTCATTTCGTCCTGAGAGACAAACTTTGGAATATAATATGGAAATACGCATCTTAACCTTAATTCTGGACCAAAAACACTATTTTTTTCCTGGGTTACTATGATTTTTTATCGAGAATCAGAAACTACCATTCAATGTTAAGTCCAATTCTGTATCTGGAACAGACTGTAAATGGTAGAGAAGAATATATGTTCATGTTCAAATCCATTAAAAATTTTATTAAAGACTGGTGTATAATCAATGATTCACATACAACTTATTTTGTAACCTGCAGAGATTAAATAAACGAAAGATGACGTTTTAAAAGGGATCTATACCACTAATGTCTGTAACCACATTGATTCATCTATTCGTATTCTGAAAAAAGCTTATGCTATCGTATAAATATATATATATATATTGATAATGAATGTTGATCTATAAAACTCAAATATTGAATCGAATTTATTATATTAATATTTTACTGTTGAGTAGAAATAATAAAAAAAAGATAGGGGACACCCGGGATTGAACCAGGGACCTCTCGATCTGCAGTCGAATGCTCTACCACTGAGCTATATCCCCATGGTGAAGCTATATTATATAGTTCTAATGATCGGGCGAGATAGTTGCACGACCAGATTTAAATAAGATTTAAATTGTGTGAAAATTAAAAAAAACAATGGCTGCCTCGTTTATTTAGTACAAGAGTATTTTTCTCACCTAAATTTTGTGAATATCTCTATGAAACGAACATATTTCGTTGAAAAAGTTGTAATTTTCATGATTCTTAGCTTCCGAGCAAGGAAAAAACAGACAATTAGGCAGTAATTGGCGCTCAATCGAACAAGCAGAAGAGTAAAATGTTATCGACAATTAAATATTTAAATTGACAAATTTCAATAATACTTTTTGTTATCGGACTATATTTATGTCATTCACTACTAATGCATTGCAAACTATTTAAGCATAAAAATATTAAAAAAATTTTACTTCAAGATAGTTAATTATTGCGCATATTATTTTTTGCAACTTCCAATATATCTTGCTCAATTGCATCAATAATAATATACTTGAAAATATTTTACAAAATGGAATAGTATTAACTAAACAGGATTATGTTTAGCAAAAGCTCAATACAGACTATAATTATTCTGAACTTTCAACAGTCATGATATTGATTATAGAAAATCTAATTATATCATCATTGCTAGACTATGTATTATTCTCGAGTGCCACAAAGAATAGATAATAATTGTAAAAATTCTATAGATTTTTATGATGCAAACAAAACAAAGCAAGAAGAAAAAGAGATTTAAATAGAGATCTCGTTTTTTGAGCTAATAATAATATCGACACATATATATATATATTCAGATAAAATGAGAGACATGTCTATAATTTGAGTGTAATAATAATTTACTTTGCAGCTTTTCAAATAACATCGGAGCAAATGAACAGGTATATTGTATTTTCAAAATACTGTTACATTCTCATTTATTTTTGGTATATCATGAAATATGAAATCTTGAAAATTATGTAGCAATAGTAGATCTCTTTAGTTATTGTCATGTATTCTCTGTTTCGAATGCTTTTTTTTTGTAGATGATCATAAACATGAATAAAGAGCCCTTTGGCAACATATGGTGATGATTGGCTTGTTACCAAACAAAGCATCTTCAAAAAGAAGAATAGTTTGCGAAAATAAAATATTACGTTAATGTTTTCTCTTCTATCATTCATGGCAAAATAAAAGAGTATAGGCTATTTATATTTTTCAGTGGTAAATTGAATTATTAACATATAAATATAAGAATGTGGCAAAAAAAGAGATTTTATTAATATAACCACAGAATATTTTATATACATGATTCAGAAAAATAAGGAGATACGTGAGTATTTAATTGAACGAATATCGTTCGGGGTGATGTATGTTTTTGCTCTTTTTTTGCTCAGCACCCATCTCACTCATTAAAACTCGACGTTAAAATAACAAATACAAATAAAAGATAAAAGGTATTGTAACTGAATGTCTTAAACAAAACAAAAAAGAAAACAAAAGCAAAAGTAAATGAGAAACAACAGAACAAAGAAAGACAAAAAGCACACTGTTGAGAAAGAACTGTTAATATGTTGGTTTTGTTTTGTTCTATTATATATGAAGGATTGTTTCTTGGAATTAAATATCACCGGAGAAAACACTTAAAGACGTTTTTGTTGTTCAATATTTGGTGGTCGATTTGACTGATAATTATTATGCAATTTAATTGATCCACGAGTATTAATATTTGAATCTGGTAAACGTTGAGTAGCAGCATTTTTATCAACACCTAATGATTGTTGACGTTTAAGAAGACTTGGTTGAAATGTTGATGGTAAAGGAGCAGTAATCGGATGATTTTTTGGTGATCCTTCAGGAATATTTCCTTTTATTGTTCGATTTGGAGAAAGACCATTCATATAAGATTCAGGATAATGATGTCGTCCATGATTCATTTCGAGGCTATTGCTCTAAAATTAAAATAGTTTAATGCAAATATTATTTATCATAAGATTGAATGAGTTCGAACTAAAATATTTCTCTCTGTTTCAATACATATTTTTAAGAAAATAAAAAAGAAATATTACTGGTGGTATATAATTTGATTTTCGCTGTGTTGATTGTACATAATTAATATTTGTTGAAAATTGTCCATTTTCCATCGGTATTGTATCATCATTATCATCGATATCATTAGGTTTTTGTACACGTTTCGCTACTGGATTTATTTTATTTGTTGAACTATTTGGTATAGATGGCATTTTTCTTCCTGATGTTTCATTAACTTTTTCTTTCGTATTAGTAGTTTGAGAAGTATTTGGTTGATATCGACTTGTATTTGCTGTTGTCGATGATGATGATGATGGATATCGATGATACATCGTAGGTTGTTGATAAGAAGATTCATCATTATTTCGATCTGAATAATTATCCTTAGTTGAATTCGTTTCATTCTCATTTAAAGTTGATGTTTCATTCGATTGTTTAGAATTTTTTTCAACTCGATAGTCATTCATACATGAATCAATATAATTTTTTGTCATATTATCACTTGCTTTAGGTCGTTTAGGTTGAAAATTTGTAACAATTATTGTTAAATTATTTGTACGACGATTAAGTAATGGTGATGATGCACGACGTATATGTTCATTTTCAGGAATGATTGATGTATCAGATGCATCAGGATTTGGATGATGTCCTTTTAATTTAAATGAACCTCGTTTATTAGATGAAAATGGTTCAATAAATGTTCGACGAATAATTTTTGAAAATGAATTAAGTGATGGACGAGTAGATTTTTTATTTATAACAGGTGTTGTTATAGAATTTGTATCATTTCCTGTTGTAGATAGATCTACATTTATTGTTGATGATGGATTATTATCTGTTGTTGATGTTGATTCATCATTTAAAGTATTATTATTATTATTATTATTAGTTGTCGATGTTGATGGAATTAAACTATTGAAAGGACAATTTTCTTTTGAAAGATTTAAATATTTTTCAAGAGTTTCCATTCGACTTTCACCATAATGAGTATATAGATGAATTTTATCATCAGATAATTCTTCATCAATTGGCCATGCAAAACTTGCACCAGGATCAATAAAGTAATGTATTGGCAGTAGATCGATTGCATCAATATCAATTAGAGGAATTCGATAAGTCACTACAAATAAAAGAAAATATCAATCATTTTTTTTTGATGCATAAAAGAAATCAACACTATATATACTAGAACTCGATAAAATATTTCTCATACATACCTTTTGATGCTGGTTTACTATTTTGTTCCATAGGTACAAGTGCTGAAAAATGAGCAGCATCAAATGCTAGGAATACCTAAATGATATTATTTACATAGATAAACATTAAAAGTGGAATTAGCTTACAGGTTGTTTATGACATTTTTCAGGTGGAATTTCTATTTAAAATGAAAAAAAAAAGATAAGAAAAACTTAGATATTATATGAAATCTTTTAATATACCTAATGGTAAATAAATTCCTCCAAATTCAATAGGGGAAATAGCTTCACCATCGTTTGTTCGTAATATCGTATCTGAATAAATAATAATCGGTCGACGTATATTATTTGCTAAGACATAAACATGAAATTCTTCTAAACTTTCATAATATTGTCTTGTGGATTGTGATGAAGATTTTGTTGAACCACCAGTATTTGTAACTGTTACAGTTTGTGATGATTTATAACTTTTTGATCTACAAAAAAAGAAAACAATGATTATTGATCAATATAAATAATATCATACTCATCAGTTGAAGAATTTGGATCAGATGAATTCGTATTTGAACTTATTTGTGATACACGTGGTTCAGCAGATGATAATCTTAATAAACCTTTCCATTCTTCATTCCATTCTTGTTCAGAAAAAACAAGACCATACTAAATGAAAACGTTTCAAAATTTATTTTATCAAATACAAAAAAACAAAAATTTCTAACTTTTTTATTTTGTACATATTGAGCCCAACGCCATCGTCGGTAAAGTGAATTATTTGGTTTTGATGTAATCATTGTTTCATTCAATGCTTTACGCATTGATAACGAATGATCATGAAAACCCCACATAGCTATAAGATTAAATAATAAAAAAATAGAATTAAACATTATTTTTCTATGAGCCTTTTTTTCTATGTCTGCTGTGACACTTCCAATGACAGCTACCTGTCGTGAAACTTAATCAGCTTTTTTTTTCCTAGACTTTGTTGATTCCATGACGATCATTTTTAGTAAATTGTCTCTAATTAAAAATTTTTCTATTTACACTTAAATTGTAATTTGATAACAACCCAAGAAGATTACTTAGAAGACTATCATGATTATTTGTTTACCTAGTGATGTAGCATGTAATAGACAATTTCCATCTCCACTTGTTAAGAGTGGATATAATTTTGGACAAGGTAATTTTTTATTAACCCACCAATTGAGACGTCCTAAACAAATATTTTTAAACGATATTTTAAAAAAAAATTGATAATTATATTTACTTGTTTCTTCCAATGTTGCCATTGTTGGTGTATCAACAAGACTATCCATAACACGAGTACGGATATCATCTGATAATTCATAGAGATTTGGTAATATAAATGATGCATCAGCATCCGTATGATCAATAGTCACAATTTCATCATTAACTGAAATTCGACGAAAATTTTTTGCTAAAACATTTCGTTGATTATTCACAAGACTTTGATTTGCAGATACAGTTGATAAAGCTCGATGTATTACAGGATAATTTGATGAATCTGGATCTTTTAAAAGAAATAAGATAAATTAAATAAAATATTTTCTTTTACTTGTTGTTCGTCGAAGTTTAATATCGGATGATGAATTATTTAATTGAGCATTTGTATCATCATCAAATACATCTTCATTGATATCATCATCATGACGTGGAGAATAACTATGCATTCTCTGATCGTTTTTTTTACATTATTTCAAAATATTAAGTAAATGAGATTCTGAAGATGAGAGCAAAAAAAAAATCATCGATTCAACATTGTTTTTAAATACATATATGTATTTACATCTAGAAGAAAAAAAATATATAATAGAATAAATATTTTAAAAATTAATATACATAATAGAATGTTTTGTTCTGACTATGCGACGAGATATTTTTGTTATTTGTTTTTTACTCATATAAAATATCTTATTGGTTTTTTAAGAGACGAATTATGATACATATATATGAAAAATAAAATTTTCAATTGAAATTATTTCTAAGAAGATTTAATTTAAATAGAATTTTAAAGTTACGAAAAAATGTTTTTTCAATAGATGTCGCTTTTATTGAATCAATCGATTTATATTCATTGGTTCCTGTTTTTATCATAGGATTTCGTTCAGAAGTATTCGTACTCTAGTGAACTTTTTCTTTTCTCTCATGTATATATATATTCAAATGATTAGTTATCAGTAACTATTGGTTCGAAAAAGCCAGCTGGTTGACCTTCTCGTTTCGTTCTTTTACTCAGAACACATCTGTGCGTTATCGTTGTTTTTTAATCTTTTATAGTCCACGTTTTTCTTCCTCTATTTATTCAATAACGTAAAACTTCGAGTATTCTTCTTCCTTTTTTTTTCGTACGCTACATAAAAATATTCTAAGAACTTGCATACCTTTTCTTTTTTGTTATTCCTCTAATATTTAATCACCTGAGAAAAACAAAACATAAACAAACAGAATTGCAACGATGTGAAATGCACTCGTTGATTGCATCATATACGTACATTATATTGGTATTGCCTAATTTGCATGTCACCATTCAAAAGATTTTTGCATATAAAAAGAAGATATTTTCTATTATAATTTCAGAATATGGTTCAAATAAAATACGAAATATGAATGAATAAAAATACATATGATTGACTTACCTTTCAATTGGTTTAAACTACAATTAAACCGTCTTAATACATGCGTTAATATAACTTAATCTCTACAATAAGAAAAATATGATTGATCAATTATCAAAAACAAATTATTCAAACGATCTCTTTGGAGAACAAGTAATAGAACCACATTTATTTCTTCTAATAATAATAATAATTTATTTCAGACTTCAAAAAAGATTGTACAGGAAACAATGATGTTTTCAAATGAATTATTTCAACGTGTTATAACAGCTGTATTTTGTTCATTTAGTCCAACTACAACAAATAATGATAAACAATATGCATTAAAATTTCTTGAAGATCTAAAAGAAAATCATCCATTAATATGTCTTACAATTGGTTTTGAATTATTAAAACAACAAACAACTAATGATTCATTATTACATCATTATGGTATACATTTAATTGAATCAGTTGTAAAACATAAATGGAATATATTAAAACCAGATGAAAAAATTTTAGTTAAAGAACAATTATTTCTTTTAATAAAAAGTTCATGTTTAAGTCAAACATTTATGGATCCAATTTATATACGAAATTCATTAGCTAAATGTATAGTTGAAATGATAAAACGTGATTGTTTTGAAAAAGTTAATACAACATTAGATGAAATTGTTCTTATGACACAAAATTTTGCTCAAATAGAAGATAGTAATTCTACTCAACTTGAACTTATTTTACTTGTTTATCGTTTTTTAAATGAAGAAATAACAATTTATGCTCAATCAATACAAATTCATCGTCGTCGACAATTATTAAATCAATTACAAAAACGTTTAAATGATATTTTACCATGTTTAATACGTATATCAAATGATTTATTATCTCAAACTGACCAACGTGAACGTTTAACACAAACATGTTTATTAGCTGTCAATAGTTTTCTTATATGGGTTGAATATAATCATTTTGAACAGTATGAAATATTTCTTTGTGAATTATTTTTAAAATTTTTTCAACTCAATTCAGTTAAATTACGTCATGCTTCATTTGAATGTTTACTTAGTCTTGTTAATAAACGTTTAGCTAAACGACAATTACAACAACAACAACAACAAAGAAATAAACGTATTGCATTATTACCATCAGCAGCATTAAATTGTCAACAAGAAAAACTGTTTCTTAATTATTTATTAGGTGATACAACATTGGAAATGTTCTATAGACTTTTATTGAGTCCAACGGTAAGAATTTAATTAAGATATCATCTAAGACAACGATGAGATTTCGCTAAGATTGAAATAGTTCTTACTCATCGAAATGGGGAAGTAGCTAAAGGTTGAAAAACAAAATGTCGAAAACAATAATATCACATATATACTCATCCGTTCCATTAATAAGAATCTAAGCAAAGAAGAGCATAAGTCAAAGATATGAGTAATCACCTTTAAGCGCTCTGCATTGATCCGTAGTATCAATATGAATCATCGTGAAGCAGACACGATTTTCACAGCGCCAATGTTTAACCTTTGAACATGACTTGTTTAGTTGATATACAAATCCATCATATACGGAAAATAAACACGCGATAGAAATAGTGATCTAGATATTTCTATGCAAAATAACTATATATTTATTTATTAAATTTAGGATTCTATTGATCAATTACGTACAATAGTTACCAATGATCATCTTAATTGTTTGAAAATGCTTGGTCAACTTCTTGTTAAATTAGCTAATTATTTATTACAATTATTTCAACAATTACCAACAAAATCACTTGATGATGATCAATTTTTAACATTTGTAAATGAACGAACACGTTCATTTTTACAATTTCTTCTTCTATTAAATCAACATCCATTTCATTTATTATCATTAAATTCTTATCAAGCATTAAATGCATTCATTATTCGTCAACCAACATTATTATCAAATGAACAATTTTGTTTAAAATTAGTTGAAAATTTAAAACAATCATTACATCGTGTGCATTTTCCAACGACAACAACCACAACATCAATAACACTTATTGAGAATGATAATGAAATATTAAAAAAACAATATACACATAATCAACAATGTTTTATTTATGCTTTATTTGAATATGACAGTGAAGAACAATTTTTTTGGAAATTTTTTTCACAATATAGAACTGAATTACAAAAATTAATTAAATCATTTATTGGAATGTTTTTCCCGGAAACAACAACAACAGTTACTGACCGATCAATTGTTGTGGTTGAAACAAATATGTCCTGTTTAAAATCTATTCTTCAAAGTTTACTTGGATGTCTCGAATCTCTTGTACAACGTACACCGAATAAAACTGATAATCAAATTGATACATCATTATCATCAATATATTTAATTATTGAATGGGAAGCATTTTATTTATTAATTGATCATGTTTTATTTATTGTCCGAAAAGAATTATTTTCATCATCAACATCAACAATAAAATCTCAACAAAAAATGGAACAACTCCTTATGACATCAACAATGACTGAACAATTTTTACGTACATTAAGATTTTTATTACAATTTACACCTAATCTAAGTGAACATATACATGGACATGTATTAAATTTACTTTCCGTGATGTTTTTTATTACACAACATGATCCACCATTAGCTATACAAATAATTCAACGTCTTCTACAAACATTTCAATTATATCAACAACAATCTATTGCTGGTACAGTTACAAATGATTGTGAAATTATGCAAACACAAGCATCGAATGCTTTTCTATATTTATGTAAAAATTTTACTGCAAAAATGATTGATTATTATTCGGAATTATTTCCATTCTTATGTAAACTTTATAAAGATGAATTTCAATTAACAAAAAATTCATTAACAATAACTATTGATGAATCATCATGTCCAACATTAAAATTACTTGATGCAGCACAAACATTACTCTATTATAAGTTAATACATGATAATGATCAAACACAACTTGAATCATTCTATGAACTTGTTAAACCTATTTATGAAACATTAGTAACATCATTATCATTCGATTCATTAACATCATTTATTCAATATCTTGATTTATGTTCAAATAGTACAATTGATATAAATATAATACAATATCGACGACGAAATTTAATGCTTGCCTTACATTGTTTGGGTTTATTATTACGTTATTCAAAACAACAACAAAATCAATTAAACATTATTTTACGTTCAAAAATAACAACTTGTCTTCGACCTATTTTGCTAGATTTTATACTTAAAGTTACACAATTTTGTAATCAATTATATGATCGACAAATCAATCCATTCTATGAAACATTAAAAATAAATTTAACGTATAGTGAAACAGAAAAACAATTATATCTTGGAACGTACGAAAGTAATAATATGGCTAAAGCAACGATAACATCAACTTCTGTACCATCGAGTCTTCCTGTTAGTTTTATTCGTTTTCAAACAACTTCAACGGGTAATAATATTATTGATGATCAACGTCTTCGTGATTATCTTCATCGATTATTTGATATATGTTATCAAATAAATGGTATGTTTTTTGCACATGATTCGGATTTATATTATTTAAAATTAAATGATGATAATTATTTTATAACATCATTTTTACAAAAAATTCTTTTTGAAAATTTAAATACGCTTCCATCATTTCGTCTTCGAATTGTTTTAAGACATTTTTGTCGTTCATTTGTTGAACATTATTGTTCAGCAATAACATTAGATAAAGAAGTAACTAATGAATTATTTCTTACATTTCTTGATATTTTTTTACCTTATATACAACAACGTTTAACAACAATGTGGAGTAATTTATTAACAACAACAATTCTAGATTATCAACAAGGTGAATGTACAGATGAAGTTATTGAAGAATGTGTTTGTGTTTTATTAACACGAGATTTTGTTGATATTATAAGATATTTTATATATAAAACAACACTTCCTGGTCAAATAAATTCAGCATTAAGTGGAAATAATAAGAAAAAGAATAAAACAATGAATGGACATAATCATAGTGAAAGTATGTGTGAGGAAACAAATGGTATTAGTAATGAAACCGATCATATTGATGAATGGGATGAACAAGTAACTAATAACAGTGTTTATAATAAATTATTAAATGGTACACAAGATAAAATGGAGCATAGTGATCTTTATAATTACATGGTTAAACTATCACGACAAAGTAAGTTTCATGTTCTGTTAATTCTCTTTCTCGTAGCAAAGAATCCAGTAAATATAAATTGTTTGTGTGTCCGCAGGGTCAAAAAAACATCGAAAATCAATTTTTCGAAAAAGACATTTCTAGAGGTTTTTCGATGAGGACAGTTCGAATCTGAAGACTTTTGGGTGACCGTGTAGAGTGAAGAGGGTTCAAAGGTCAAAAAAACATCGAAAATAAATTTTTCACGGTTTTCGTTTGTTTTTCCAGTAAATGTATTTCTACGAGAAAGAGCTAAGGGAGTCGTCGGACGAGCGTTACTTGTATATAATTATGACTAAATTTATTATTTTTTATATGTTTAGATTCTCCAATTGCTTTACGTCTATTTACTTGTGTTATAAAAATCTTATTTGAATGTTTAACTTTTCCTGATGCTTATTGTGTCAATCGTTTCCTACCAATAATTCTTCCATTAACAAAACTTTATACGGATATTATTGATAAAAATGTTCATTCATCATCATTAATTGATATCAAATTTCTTTTTCAATGTTTATTAAAAGGCTTAGAACGACATAATGAGAATGAAGGTGTGAATACAAATATGATATCATTAATTGGTCATACTTATGAATTATGGTATAATCAATATCAAACTCAACTTGATCTTGTTCTATATCAAACAATTCCACAATTAAATGTTGAATTATTAAATACGTATAAAACACGTCTATTAGCAAATAATAATAATAATGATAATCAAAGAAAATCTCAAAATATTACTGAACGTGAACGACGTGATACAATTAAAAATTTGCTCAATCCTATTCTGTTGTCACCTTTGTCAAGTAATAAGAAAGAAGGATTAAATTTAAATATTCCATTTAATCAATCAACTATCATTACAACGCTTTAAAGAAAAAAGAAACTGTAACAGGGCGCATATAACAGTTGTGTGTGTATGTGTATGTGTGTGTGTGTGTGAGTTTGTGTGCTTTTCTTGTTTTTCCTACTTGTGTTCTTTCGTTTGTTTTTTTGATCTAGTCGTCTCAGGCAGCAGCAGCTATTTGTGTGTTTGTGTCTGTTAAAAAGAAAAATTCCTTACGCTCTGTATTTTGGCTTTCGAGCCATTATTATCATTGATTTCATTTGTTTATTTTTTTTTCTCTTGTTTTTTTTCTTCTTGTTTGTTGTTATTATTTCTGTTATTACTTCAGTTTTTTCTTTATGGCATATACGCATATATTTACATGTTAAATAAAACATTTGAAAAGGTTACAAGTTATATAAAAACAAAGGTTCCTTTTTGTCTTTGTAAATAGGTAAATTACTATACTGAAACCATTGATCTATCACTAATATATGTAAATATGAATTATAGAGAAAAGTTTCTCATCATCAGATATATTTATTTTACTTCTTGCCCACAAAGTGCACATTTTATTAAGAAAATCGTACGAAGTTAGTATCATTCCAGACATCATAGTTACGTCTAAATAGCATATCAAGGATTTAACTAATACATGGTTAAAAATTAATACAGCGTTAGATTTAAAAATGAAAGCATGTGTTCGTAATTTTAATAAAGTTCTCCTTGTGGACATTAGGCGAGTTTGATGCTAACTGTTTTCACTTCGTAGTAACCTTCGAGACCATAACTTCCTAATTCTCGTCCATGACCTGATTGTTTGAAGCCACCAAATGGTGCTTGATTCCAGAATGTATTGTAATCATTGATCCAAATGGTACCTGCATGTAATCGTTTGGTAATTGTTAAAGCTCGAGTTACTGAAAAGTCATATAAGACATGAATAATTCGATAGAATTAAGTTCAACTTACAATCTTTGGTGACGATACCAGCCGCTAAACCAAATGATGATGAATTAGCTCGTTTGATTACATCTTCATAACAATCATATTTTAATAATGACATCACTGGTCCAAAGATCTATACAGACAAATTGTTTCTACACATGTGACAAAGAAAAGAAAAGAAAAGAAAAGAAAAGAAAAGAAAAGAAAAGAAA